ACGTCGACGGCGGTCGCTGTTGAGTGACGGCCGCCTCTGCCCTCCCCTGACAGGCAGATGATGAGCACTACATCCCCCGGGCCGTGCTGCTGGACCTGGAGCCCCGGGTGATCCACTGCATCCTCAACTCCCCCTATGCCAAGCTCTACAACCCCGAGAACATCTACCTGTCGGAGCACGGAGGAGGAGCTGGCAACAACTGGGCCAGTGGATTCTCTCAGGTCACTTGCTGTTCTCTAGCAGATCCCAAAAACTCCCTATGTAGGGATAGTCTCTGACTTCTCAGAGAGAGCTGAAACCAAATCAGGAAAGTATGAATGCTGGAGAGAGAGAGATGACTGCAGGGAATTACACGGTAATATTGTTAAGAGCCTGTACTAGGTAGTGCTGTGTCTCAGGCCACTCTAAGTGTCTTATGTGTATTAATTTATATAAACCTCCTAACAACCCAGGAGGTAGATACTACAGGTCCATGGTCTCTTATCTGCCTTTCCACAATAAAAAAAGTTCTGAAACCAAAAGACATCTCATAATTCATGTAGCAGTCAAAACTCAGTGGTGGTAAACTATAGTTTCTCCAATTTACTGTTATCACTCATACCTTCATTAAAGAAATATTAATGCATTTGGTTCACATGCCTTGAATCCCCAGTGGGGTTTTAATTCACTAGACAGTATATGACTATGTTACATGTCTCTTTCTTTTGCTATAGGGTGCGCGTGCGCTCCTGGAGAGACAGAGACAGAAAGTGAGAAATCACCCCTCAGCGGGGATGGCCACACCACAATTCCTTTTCCTCTACTCTACTCTTGGGATTTGGGGCATGCATGCACATGCACCTGGCACCCAGCATGAGTTTTAGCCACTAGGTCCAGACTCAAACCGCGGTGGGAGTCCAGCGATGTAACTATTACGCCACCTGCTGGTTCCCTTGTTATATTGCTATTATAAAATCTGAAATATTTTTAATTCTAAAATATAACTGGCCCTAAGGATTTTTGATAAGGGACTGTGGACCTGCAATGCGTACATGAGGAAACTGAGACATAAAGAAATTAAGGAACCTGCCTGGAGTCACTGAGCTAAATAGAACTAGAACTAATGAACAAACCCAGGGAGTGAGGCTGCAGAGTGCTTGTTTGTAATCACTGGGCAGTCCTGCCTCTCAGTACAGCTATGCTCCCAGAAAGGTGCTATTAGGGGAATCGAGGGTGGCTATTCTGAAGTAAAAGTCCTAGTCCCGTCCTCTTGTTCCACTCTTACCTCCTCCGTGTCTGTATAGGGAGAGAAGATCCATGAGGACATTTTTGACATCATAGACAGGGAGGCAGATGGCAGCGACAGTCTAGAGGTGAGTATCCCTATGCTGGTCAGAGCTGATGTGTGGAAGTCCTGGCAATAACCTTTAGAAGCCACCTGTTAGGCACAAGCCCTACTATATACCCTTTGCGTTGGACAGAAATCCACTAGGTCCTGCTGGAGACAATGCAGTCTTCTAAGCTATTATGTGTGAGGGAACTAGAGGGGAAAGAAGGTCCTGGGAAGATGGTCCAAGAAGTTGTAGGATGGGTCCACTTTGAAATCCTGACTTTAGAAACCTGGACACTGACCACCCCTTCCCCATGCAGGGCTTTGTGCTGTGTCACTCCATCGCTGGTGGAACAGGCTCTGGCCTGGGCTCCTACCTCTTAGAACGGCTGAATGACAGGTAAGTCTGTCTGGGGGGGTGTGAGAAGACACAACCTTCAACTGGGTTTCCTGAGTGACTGGGAGGCCCTGCAGATATATCTTCCTATTTGCTGGAATCCTGCTACTCCCTCTGATAGTGAGGAAAGTTCCAACTGAGAACTCGTTCACATTCTCAGTGGCAGGTACTAGAGCCTAGAATGTGGGCCCTGGATGAAGGTCCAGGGAGTGTGGCCTGATTTGGACTTGAAACCCTAAATCCTAAGATGTCTGTGATCTTCTCTATCATTATAAACCTTCATATAATAACCCCACCCCAATTTCCCCACCCAGATCTAGCTGCTTCTGACAGTTATTTGGGGAGCCCTATGTTCACCAAGCCTCCAGCCTGCTGCCCTCATCCTCTGTTCCCAAACCCCACCAGGTACCCCAAAAAGCTGGTGCAGACATACTCAGTGTTTCCCAACCAGGACGAGATGAGCGACGTGGTGGTGCAGCCCTACAACTCACTGCTCACCCTCAAGAGGCTGACCCAGAACGCAGACTGCGTGGTGAGTCTAGGATTTACCTTCCTCCCTTACAATCCCTGCTCTAATCAACCCTTTTCATGTATTTTAAAAGGCCATTTTAGGGCCAATCCTGTCACCTGGTGGTTAAGGGAACCAGATCCCCATGGCCAACTGACTAAATCCCAGCCCTGGCAGCTCATAAAACACACGAGGCACGTGTGCATGCATGGTGCTCCAGATCTTGACAAGATAAAGCAGTGGAAGACTAGGGATTGCAGCATGACCACACCCCATGGGAGGGTGCTTTCCTTCTTTCCTACTCTGTGTGTGCGTGTGTGTGTGTGTGTGTGTGTGTGCCTGGTGAGCGCACACACCCTCTTGACAAATTAAAAATAAAAATTTTATGTAGAAATCTATTTTAAGTCATCTGTGTCTTGGACTTCTGCAAGTCTACTTTTTTTTTTTTGAGAAGTTCATGCTATAGGGTGCGTGTGCTCGCCAGACAGAGAGACTCCATTGCTGGTGGAACAGGCTCTGGCCTGGGCTCCTACCTCTTAGAACGGCTGAATGACAGGTAAGTCTGTCTGGGGGGGTGTGAGAAGACACAACCTTCAACTGGGTTTCCTGAGTGACTGGGAGGCCCTGCAGATATATCTTCCTATTTGCTGGAATCCTGCTACTCCCTCTGATAGTGAGGAAAGTTCCAACTGAGAACTCGTTCACATTCTCAGTGGCAGGTACTAGAGCCTAGAATGTGGGCCCTGGATGAAGGTCCAGGGAGTGTGGCCTGATTTGGACTTGAAACCCTAAATCCTAAGATGTCTGTGATCTTCTCTATCATTATAAACCTTCATATAATAACCCCACCCCAATTTCCCCACCCAGATCTAGCTGCTTCTGACAGTTATTTGGGGAGCCCTATGTTCACCAAGCCTCCAGCCTGCTGCCCTCATCCTCTGTTCCCAAACCCCACCAGGTACCCCAAAAAGCTGGTGCAGACATACTCAGTGTTTCCCAACCAGGACGAGATGAGCGACGTGGTGGTGCAGCCCTACAACTCACTGCTCACCCTCAAGAGGCTGACCCAGAACGCAGACTGCGTGGTGAGTCTAGGATTTACCTTCCTCCCTTACAATCCCTGCTCTAATCAACCCTTTTCATGTATTTTAAAAGGCCATTTTAGGGCCAATCCTGTCACCTGGTGGTTAAGGGAACCAGATCCCCATGGCCAACTGACTAAATCCCAGCCCTGGCAGCTCATAAAACACACGAGGCACGTGTGCATGCATGGTGCTCCAGATCTTGACAAGATAAAGCAGTGGAAGACTAGGGATTGCAGCATGACCACACCCCATGGGAGGGTGCTTTCCTTCTTTCCTACTCTGTGTGTGCGTGTGTGTGTGTGTGTGTGTGTGTGTGTGTGTGTGCCTGGTGAGCGCACACACCCTCTTGACAAATTAAAAATAAAAATTTTATGTAGAAATCTATTTTAAGTCATCTGTGTCTTGGACTTCTGCAAGTCTACTTTTTTTTTTTTGAGAAGTTCATGCTATAGGGTGCGTGTGCTCGCCAGACAGAGAGAGACAGAGAGACAGAAAACGAGAAATCACCCCCCAGGGGGGATGACCACGCCACAATCCCTTCTCCTCCATTCTCCTCTTGGGATCTTAGGCACGCACGGACATGCACCCGGCGTGAGTTTAAGCCGTCGGGTCCAGGACTCGAACTGCGGTCGACTACATGGGAGTCCAGTGACATAGCCATTACGCTAACTGCTGGTCCCTCTGCAAGTCTACTTTGAAATGAGTTTCTCTTTTTTTTCTAGAGAGGTTTTTGCTACAGGGTATGTGTGCTCGCCAGAGAGGGAGACAGAAAGCGAGAAATCACCCCCCAGGGGGAATGGCCACGCTGCAATCCTTTCTCCTCTCTCTTCTCAGGATCCTGGGCACACAAATACACATGCACCTGGCATGAGTGTGCTTTTTGTTTTGTTTTGTTTTGTTTCTTTAAGAAGAATCTTATCTAATTTTTTTTAATTTATCTATCTATCATCTATCTATCTATTTTAATTTGATGAGAGGGACAGAGCAAGAGAGACAGAGAGGGAAAATGAGATAGCAAGCCCCCAGGTCCAGGACTCGAACCACTGTCGGCCATGTGGCAGTCCAGCGTGCTTAACCACCATGCCTCCTGCCGGCCCCCCTGGTATGAGTTTTAAACAGCCAGTCCAGGACTTGAACTGCAGTTGACTATGTGGGAATCCAGCAATGTAGCCATTAAGCTGTCGCTGATCCCTTAAATGGGTTTTTCTGACCATGAGGCTCAAGGGAAATTAAACTTAAGAGCGTAGGCTCAAGTGGAACTCCTGTTTTTTTCTGTTCTCATAAATCTGTCACCCACTTCTGTCCCCCAGGTTGTGCTGGACAACACAGCCCTCAACCGGATCGCCACAGACCGCCTGCACATCCAGAACCCATCCTTCTCCCAGATCAACCAGCTGGTGAGCCCTCACTCCTGGACTCCTTAGGACTAAAACCCTCCCTGCTGGAGGGCCACCTGGGGAAGGGAGGTCCCATGTAGGCCGAGACCCACGACCTGGCACCCCGTCCCCAGGTGTCCACCATCATGTCAGCCAGCACCACCACCCTGCGCTACCCCGGCTACATGAACAACGACCTCATCGGCCTGATCGCCTCGCTCATCCCCACACCGCGCCTCCACTTCCTCATGACCGGCTACACCCCCCTCACCACGGACCAGTCAGTAAGAGCAACCCTCGGTGTCCCAGCCGGCCATCAGTGTCCCCG